CACACACAAAAAGGTTTTCAAAAGTTAAACAAAACTCAAACTTAAAAAATTATTATTCAAAATTATTCATGGCTGATGACTTAAATGCCACTAAAAGGCTATACTAACTTGAATACAATCTTATTCATGTCTGATGCCTTCCACTTCACTTTTTTGTTTTTAGAAAGTAACTAAAGACTCTACGAACTTAAAGAATCTCAATTATTCATGTCCGATGCCTTGCATTTCACTAGAAAGTTACGAAAAGACTCCACTAATTTAAAAAATCTGTTATGTATGTGATGCCTTATATTTCACTAAAAAGTTACTTTAAAAAAAAGACTCCAATAACTGAAAAAAAAAATCTAGACTAAAAACTAAAAACTCTACTAACATAGAAAATCTCAATTACTCATGTCTAATGATTTAGATTTCATTAAAAAGCTACTAAAACGACTGTACTAACTAGTCGAGTTTTAAATGAAATTCAGACAGGTCTTTCAGCAGTCATTTTTAGCTTGCTTTTCCACTGAAAAATGTGTATAAAGCAATACATACCAACTGCATCTGTGTATATATAAAGGGATAGCATTACTATAATTACAGTTAAAACTGTAGTATAATATGATTTAACTGTAAAATGGGTTCTACACGGCTATTTCGAGCAGCAGCATGCTAAATCCATCAGCTGGGAGGTGATATTTTGACAGAGTTCCTTCCTGCTATTCCACATCCCAGCTGTTGTCTGGCTGCTAAGTGGGCTGGCAAGCATCCAACCATGATGACACTTGAACAGTAGTCTCGCAACAGGGATTCTGGGGTTTTTTTTGTTTTTGTTTTTTTTTTTTGCTTTACCCAAGGGAGGTTAGATACAGCCATGCAGAGGAAGTACAAAGTCTAGCAAGACCTATGTATCAGACGAATATCAAATCACAGAAGCAGAACAACACAAACACACAAACCCTCAAGTAACAAGCTCGCTGCTGTGACAGTCACACACATTCAGGACCTCTGTTTCCATGTGACTCACTGTGAACCTGCAGCGTGACACCACTGGGACAC